CAGGTTGCGGACTTTTCATGTTGTGAATGGGCCTCCGGAACAGATCCCGTTCACAACCAGAGGTACCACCGTACAGGCTCCAGCGGATTGAGTGAACGAGACCAAGGATGGGTCCAGTGATCAAGAAGGGGGTTTCTGCACATGCTATAGAGTGAAGTGAGGCTCATCAACCTGGAAAGGTAGCCCTTCAAGAGAAGGAAAACTCTGATCCTAAACTTCCACTGGGAAAAGAAAAGGCAAAGGAGTAAACCCTACACAAATCCAGAGTGGAGTCCTTGTCCTCCTCCTTCCAGCAGCTCCTGCAGTCCTGCTGGTGCCAAGCATATTGCTTTCCTTTGGACCCAAGGACCTCCATAGACACTGCCTAGAGAGGTCGCTTTGGTGCTGCTAACACAGCGGTTTGACTTCATTCCCCGGAAGTGAACTCTCTCAAGGCAGACAGATGCCAACAACAACAAACACATATAAATAAAATAAAATAAACCTTGCTGTTGGCACTGGAGATTTTTGGGCCTAGCTGGGCAAGGGAGCAGATTGATTTGGGCTGTGTAATTTTCAACTCCTCTGCTCTTTCCTTGACTCGCCCAAAGTTCAGGCTGGTGCAGTTCATCATTTTCTCTCTGACTGCAAGCCAAGGCCCCCAAGCCAGAGCAGTGTGTGAGCACAGCCTGTTAGGAAGCCAAGTAACAGCAGAAAAGGAGGAGGAGGAGGAGAAGGGAAAACACTGCCCTGGCCAATCTGTTCCCCTCTTTCCTGAGCCATCTTTCTCTCTCTCTCCTCCTTCAGACTGCCAAGCACAGCTAAGCAGCACGCGAACAAGCCCCACTGGGAAGGGAGACAAATAACAGGGAGGAGAAGGGAATGCACTGCCAAGCTGCCACGGCCCTTTCTAGGGATGGGGGAGAAATATGACTTAGTTCCCATGTAAAGGTGAATGTACCCAATCCGCACTTTCCGAAACAAGATGCGAACCAAAATACAACCATCCTTTGAACTTCTCTGAATTTTGCAAAGAGGTTCTCTAGCCAAGTAATGTGTGGGGAAAAAACCACATATCTTAAAGTGTGCACATTGTGGGTAAATAACATAGAAAAAAGTGTGTTAGGGAAGATTTTGCTTTGCAAAATTGTTCCTGCTGGGCAAGATTGCACACACAAAAAAGTGTATATTTGGAGAAATTTGCACTGAAATGCTGGTGAATTTTCATTATGACTTTTTTTTTAATAAAAAAATTGCATACTGATGTGGAAATGTGGAGAGCTGAAGTTAAGACTGAAAAAAGAGCGAATCTGAAAGATGTGGCAGAAAGAAAAAGAGATGGGGAGAGAGGAGGGGGAAAGCAAGCTCTGGTACCAGTTCTTAAAGTTATGGTTATGACAGCCATTGGGGCTAAGAGCCATTCAAACCCTTTCTCTCCTCCCAGTTTCTTTTTCCTGCCCCATCACCTGGCTGAGAGGGAGGGAAAGGCATCAAGCCTTACTTGCAGAACTTCACTGTCTCTCTGCTTATCCGAGTACCAGTCAGACCCAGCCCTGCCTAGCTTCCCAGAGAGGGTGAGGTGGGGCTTACCTCTTGCCCACCATAGAAACGAGTAAGCAGTGAGGTCAGGGTTCTATAAGGGGGTAGCGATGCTGACAACATCCAAAGGCCAGAAGAAAGATCCAAAATGCAGAATGTATTGCGGCAGGGGAGGGGGGAAATTTGTGGGAGTGAATAATTTACATTGTTGTAAATAGTAGGTGTGACTTTTCTTCCGGCTCAGCGGTTCGCTAGATTTTTATCTCAATTCTCCCAGGCTCTTTTGTTGATGACATGGGTAAGAAACAGGACACCCAGGTGTTCTAAAAATAATTGGTGTAACTGATATTTATTTGATCCTTACATACTGTGCACTTTATAGATACAGAATTCTGTAAAGATGCCCTTGGCTTTTATGGTATGTTTGTTTTCTCTTGGGACGCGGGTGGCGCTGTGGGTAAAAACCTCAGTGCCTAGGGCTTGCCGATCGCATGGTCGGCGGTTAGAATCCCCGCGGCGGGCTGAGCTCCCGTCTTTCGGTCCCAGCTCCTGCCCACCTAGCAGTTCGAAAGCACCTCCGGGTGCAAGTAGATAAATAGGGACCGCTTACCAGCGGGAAGGTAAACGGTGTTTCCATGTGCTGCGCTGGTGCTGGCTCGCCAGAGCAGCTTCATCACGCTGGCCACGTGACCCGGAAGTGTCTCCGGACAGCGCTGGCCCCCGGCCTCTTAAGTGATATGGGCGCACAACCCTAGAGTCGGACACGACTGGCCCGTACGGGCAGGGGTACCTTTACCTTTACTTTTACTTGTTTTATCTGGTGCATGTAGCAGATAGGCAGCAGCAATAATTCAGTGCTGTGGTGGGGTAACTGGGGGTTTTACCAATCATGCAGCGCTGTGCTCTTCCCCAAACACACATTTATGTGCTATTGGCAGGGCAGATCCAAGACATTTTGCTGCCCAAGGCAACAGACAAAATGGTTCACACACACACCCCAAACCCATGTCCAAAAAAACAGGAGTTGACTGTTCGTCACTGGCAAATAGACAGTGTCTTCCACTACACTTGAGGGCAGCGGACTAGCTTAGGGAGTATAGAGCAGGCACACAGAGTTCTGTTCTTTCCCTGACCCTCAGAATCTACCGCCTGAAGCATTCACCTCACGCTGCCTAATGGTAGAGCCAGCCCTAGCCCTCTTAAGTCCTGAGAAGCAGGGAAGGCTCTTTAATTTAAAGAGCCAGTTCACTAGAATGGTGGCTTGAAATACATTTCTGTGGCTGCCTTTGATTTCATTGTGCTTGCCTTGGTGCACATTGCTGCTTGCCAGCAGAAGCAGCTGGGAAGAGAGGAGTTCAGGGCAATTTTTAAAAAAATCATTTTATAAGTTGTACCTGTATGTCCTTGTTTCTCAATTTGATCCTTTTACATGGTTTTGTATGTTTTATGGTATTTTATGTATTGTGATTTCCTGGTTTTTTTTTACTGGTTATAGATTAGTAATTCTTTACTGTAATTTATTTGTTTGCTGGTGTTTAAACTTTAAAAACTATTGTTTGCTGGTGTTTAATTTTACTGATTACTATTAGATTTTAATGGATTATTGAAAATGGCTTTATTTGATACAAATCGTTTATTTTAAAGTTATTGTGACTTTTTAAATATTGGATCAGATTGTTACTATTAATGCTTGATGTTTTCTTATGTTTTTATATGTGTTGGAGGCCACCCGGAGTGGCTGGGGCACTGCAGCCAGATGGGTGGGGTATAAATTAAAAAATAATATAATATTACGATATTTGTAAAAATAATAATAAGAAAATGTTTTGAAGGAAGCTGTGTGGCTAATCTGTGGCCCTCCAGAGATTAATGGATCACAGCTCCCATTGTCCCAAACTATTGACCTTGCCAGGGTAATGAGCATGGAGTTCATCATAGCGCTGGAGTCCAACATAGCTTGATGGTACGGCACACGGAGATCTCAGTGATTGGGCAGGGGGTATAAGGGATCAAGTGATCCTTAAGCTGTTCTGGACCCAAGTTGTCAAGCGCCTTACAAATTACTGCAAGCACCTTGAATTTGAACCGGCGACTGTATTGTGACGTTGTGTCTATTTGATTGCGCAGGGTTTTGAAAGTGTTCCTGTCACGGACTGTTCAGCGAATGCCATACATGACAGGCGGGCGCGTGATGAAGATGCTGGCTGTGATATTCCTGGTGGTGCTTTGGTTCCTAATAGGCTGGACTGCTGCCGTCTGCCAAAACCTGGAGCGAAACATTTCTCTCGTTGGCCAAGGACAAACCTCAGATCATCTGATCTTCAGCATGTGCCTGATAGACCGGTGGGATTATATGATGGCTATTGGTAAGTTGCCTTTGCTGCTGCTGTTTTGCTTTGGTCATTATTTTGCTTGTTTAAGACATTTATAACACACCTTTCCTTATAAAAAGCCTAATGATAAAATCACATCACAACCTGACAATTTAAATGTATCAGTTACAAAAGCAATACACTGCAAACAATAACAGTACTACAACCATAGAAGCTGTTCAGCAAATTAAAACAAATTCCTCCTGCATTTGTTCTTCACTTTCCAATCCTACAGTTTCTTCTGGCTTTGTCTCTCGTCTCTTGGCTTTTCCAGGCTCTCACAGATCCCTTCTCCCAACCCCCCTTTTCCTAGTGCTCACTCCTCAGTGTCCTGCCAGTCCCTGACACTGAGTATACAATAATTTGTATTTTTTTTAAAAAAAACAACAACAACCTATGGTTTATTGGCTTCCAGATGTCAGCTCAAGCAGTGGAATGGAGCAAATAGCCAGTTTTCCAGACCTGTGGCTCAGTTAATAGCTTCAGAAAGGCTTGAAGTCAGATTTCAAACAGAAAACTACTGAAAAGTTTCAGCTAGCAATTCAGAAACGAGCTCTCTAGGCAGGCTATGTGTTAGATTTAATTAGCAGTCCAATCTGTCATTGGGGTCAACTGACTGGGAGAAAGGTGACCTGAGTTGTAACTCTGCAGTTCCAGCCTCTCCCCGCTCAGCATGTTTTGCAAACATTACATATGTTCTGTAATTGCCATGTAAATTTAGGGTTTGCTCCAGTGGCTTAGTAGTAGAGCCGAAAGCATTAATCAATTAATTGGTGCAATTATCCAATTACTGGCTTGAGAGTCAACTGAAAATGCATCTCTGATTAATTAGCAGGATCCAGCTGAGTTCTGTTCCCTACCACCACTGGGGCATGCCTGAGTCCAGTTGCGGTCTGGGTTATCCTTCCAACTGCTGTAAGAATCCATTGAGGGGAAGAAGGTCATCAGGATTGTTCCTGCAGGATGGGTGGGTCTAGAGTTAGCAAGTGAAAGGCGGTGTTCTTATTTGATTGCATCTCATGTCAGCATCCCTTGCTGACAGAAGGTTCTTTGATCCAGCAAAGGCTTCAGTCAGGAGATGAGGGAAGGAGCCCCCCTGAATATTTGAGGGAAGGGCTGTAGCTCAGTGGTAGAGCATCTGCCTCACCCTCAGAAGTTTCCATGTTCAATCCTGGGCATCTCACAGGAAGGCTAGGAATGTCCCCTGCCTGAAACTCTGGAGAGTTTCTTTTGGTCAGTACAGTGGTACCTCGGGTTGAGTACTTAATTCGTTCCGGAGGTCCATTCTTAACCTGAAACTGTTCTTAACCTGAAGCACCACTTTAGCTAATGGGGCCTCCTGCTGCTGCCACGCCGCCGGAGCACAATTTCTGTTCTCATCCTGAAGCAAAGTTCTTAACCTGAAGCACTATTTCTGGGTTAGCGGAGTCTGTAATCTGAAGCGTATGTAACCTGAAGCGTATGCAACCCGAGGTACCACTGTATAAACAATACTGAGCTAGATGGACCAATGGTCTGACTTATTGTAAGGCAGCCTTCTACATTCCTTCCTTCAGCAGAGAGACATCTTTTGGAGGCAGCCTGTTGATGGAGAGAAGGTGGTCCTCTGGGGTATAACATGCCTATAAATCTGCACGAATTTTTTAATTAAAAGCAACGGCAAATCCCCAAACTCTAAACATGCAGCAGTTGCGGGCATCTTAAACACAGCAAGGTAACGCGGTGGAAAGGGTCGGGTTTCACCTTTCTCCTCCCCACACCCCCTTTCTGTGTGTTGACACCTTTGCAAACCGCTTGGAGGATTTCTTTACAGTTGTGCGATATGCAAAATATTGTTAAATGAATTAAATAACAAAATAATGCACACGCTTAGGATCTGCAAAATTGCACTGCAAATTATTATGAGTAGTAAGGGTGCTACTGATTGCAGTCATTCATCACTTTCTACCAAAAAAGAAAAAAGTCTCAAAGGAACCTACAGATACGTAAATTTCAGTTTAAATATCCAAAGAATGTATCTAGGAATGGCAGAAAGGGAAGGAAGGAGTGACTCTAGGCAGTTTGCGTTGCCATTCTGCCATGCTGAATTTCAGTTTGGCCAGTTAATCAATAAACTGGTGAACTGCATAATTAGATTGACGCAATCTCTGCGAGTGGCAGAAAACCAAACTGCTTTAAAAAGCCAAGCTGAAATATAAAGTCATTTGGAAAGGCAGCTCTGGAGAACAGCTGTGAGACTTGGTGTGCGTGTTAAATGGCACCTTTATTATTTCATTTCTGTTGAATGCTGAAGACACACATCTTTCCCCTGGGCTGTAACTGCTGCGATATATGTCTTCAGGACCTACCTTTATCCTTTGACTGTAATTTGCTTTCAACTGTTCTTAATACGCAATTTTATATTGCTATAACCCACTGTGGGAGCAGATTGTGAAGGGCTGGTAATAAATTGAATAAATAATAGCCATAAAATAAGAATAAGATTGTAACAGAGATAAAAGCAGTAGCTTACACGATGTATTATTTTTTAAATGTGCATGTTGTTGATGATTTATAAAGGAACCAACATTTATGATTCACAGATTTCGTATGTCCCATGAGCTATTTCCTCCTCCTTAGACTAATATGTCTTCCAAATCTGTGCTCAAACTGAACATTTAATTGTGTTCCTTACTGTAGAAATGCCCAGCAAGAGATTCTAGGATAGTGTTTCTAAGTGTGTGTTTGTTCATACTGGTGTAAGAAGGAGTTGGGCTTTCCATGACAGAACACATACAGCCGAAGTACAAACTGTGGGGAAGGAGAGAGATGTTAAATACATCCATTTATGCCAATTTAATTACAGTTTAATGTTCAACTTCATATTGGAAGCCAAAATACTTATCTGCCTGACCAGACAGGAAGAATCTCAGCCAGGCCAGAGGTAATGTAATATAATTTGCTTAGCTACTGAATTTCACACCCTGTTCCAATAAATATGTTGTTGTAGCAGTCCTCTGGTATCCTAAACAAGCATTTATGTGAATATCTAAGACAATTAATATTTTAAATTTATATATTTGCAAAGATTCCAGAGGACAAGACTTCGTCAAGTGTAGGATGGGCAAATCTCTCAATTTTGGTTCTCTCATTTTCTCCCCTATCTCCAATTCAGTTCTCCACATATCCTGAACAATTTGCATCCCCCCCCAAAAAAAATCCCCCACTCATGATAATTCATCAACAGTTCAAGTTGAATTTCTCCTAATATACACATTTTTATGGCATTTTGACTAAAATGCACACTTTTGCTTGCAATTACCCCAAACATAATGCGTTTTTTGATTTTAAACTAATATATGCATTTTCAGGCACACTTTCTCCTCATAAATGCATTTTTGTGCACATTATTTGACTGGAGAGCTGCATTAAAAAAATCAGAAAAGTGTGAATTTCAAGCTGCTGTTTGGTTCTCACATTGTTTCAGAAAGGTGAATTTGATAGATTCAGCTTTGAATGCTAAGTGAAGCAAATTCCTCCCCCACAGTCCATGGCCCCAAGTCCTTCACTCAGTAAAGGTGAATTTCGGGTTCACTTTGGTTCAAGAAGTGTACATTAGATAGCTTCTCATTAAAAAGCAAGAGGCAATGAATTTCCTCCCCGGCCCTAACCTCTCTCTGCCTTCTGAAAGCCTCAGACGCTCTCAAGGAGGAGGAGCTTCTGCCATGGCTATGTCCCAGTCTCCTCCCCATCTATTCACTTCTCTCTGCCCAGAATCAGCACTGTTTTCTTCCCTATCAGCATCCTTTTGAGGCCAGTGCTTGGAGTGCTGCCAAAAGGTGCTTTAAAAGACAGGACCGCTTAAACATTGACCTGGGATTTGAGATCTGGCTTCAATGTGTAATGTAGGGAATCATCACACCCTGGGGAGTCCAAACAGAATGGACCAGACTGAAAAGAAAACAGGGAGTTTCAGCAGATACACCCCATTTTCTCATTTGGCAATTGGATCATAATACTGAGCATTGTTAAAGGTACAGGAGCCCCACAGCTATGCAACTATTAAAGGTACAGGGTACCCAACCAGCATGGCCAATGTTCAAGGATGGTGGGAGTTGTAGAGCACTGTAGATCTGTAGAGCACTGCCTTAGCTACCCTTGCATTAGCAGAAGCTTACACCATGAGAGGTTGGAATGATTCTGTTGTTTCTCGCTGCAAAGTGTATCTTCCCCATTCTGGCAGCTTGCCTGCCTGACGCCTCTCTTGCTTTTACATGCACTTTTCTTCATAAGGTCATCCTTTTTTCTTTTTTCTTTTTGCAAGAGACAAGAGGAAACCTTCATTTCCTGCCTTGCAGTTTGTATTGTTATCCAAAGGTTGCAGCTATGATTAATTGCATCAGAAGCAAAGCTTGGCTATGCTTCTGCAAGCTTCCCATCTCCTGATGGCGACATTTGTGCGGCATGCTTCGAATGGTGGTTCATACAAAGTGACTTGCTGCTTTCCTGAATTTTCTGACTGCAGAGCCAACACACACACACACACACACTGCACCTTTGTGTTGTTCATATGCTAGCTTGTAAGGTGTGTTTGTGGGTGAGTAAATGGAAAAGAGATGCTACAAGCATTGAAGCATATTTGATGTTATTTAAGATTCACCCATTCCTTAAATATCATTCCTTAAATGATATTTTAAAATGAGATCATTACCGTGACCAAACAGCGACACAGTAGAAATAAACTAAGAGCGATACAACAGCTGGCAAAATTTTAGAAGGAAAACTGTCACGCATTTATAAGTTTGCATTAATCGGTACTTGCACAAAGACCTTGAACAATCAGATGCATCCAAATGTCTGAGTTAACAGGTGAGTTTTTACCTGGCACTCGAAGCCCAGTAATGTAGGGACCATCTATCCATGCCTTGAGCAGGGGAGATTCCATAATCTGGGTACCATGTCATGACCCCATTTCACCACACAATGGGCAACATCCACTAGCAGAACAGCATTCAGGACCTCCCCAGCTGATCCAAGGGTCCAGTCAACCTGTATAGGGCCAGGGGCACACTCCTTATAGGACTTGCATTTCTGTGTGCTCCCTGCATAGACTACTTCACACACAACCAAATTCATTGTTTTCAGGGGTAGAGATGGACAAATCTCTCCATTTCATTTCCACTGTTCCAATCTTAAGTTCAATTCTCTTCATTTCTGCATCAGTTTGCTTCCCCCTTTTAAGTCTTTAGTGAAAAACTATCCTAATATAGACGCATTTTGTGTGCGCAATTTTCCCAGATACACACATTTTTGCAAAGTGTCCCCCCCCCCCATCGTAATGTTATTTTCGTTAATATGTGCATTTTTATCCACACACACATTTCTGTACATGAAATTTGGTGGGAGAACAGTAACTGCTCAGTGTTTGGAAAAGTGCACATTCCAAACAATAGCAACATTTCCTTTTGCTTATCATTTGGGAAAGTGAAAATTTACGTAGGTTCATATTAAAATACAAAGAAACCCAAATTTCTACCCCACCCTTGCTCCAGGTGTGTAGAACCTTTGGCCTTATTCCAGATGTCACGGAATAAACAAGTCCTGGGAAGCATGGACAGTGTCCAGGGATGATGGGACTTGTAGTTCAGCATCCTTCGAAGACAGAGGTCCTGTGGCTGGGACGGGACGATATGGGATTGGGGGGGCAACTCCCATCTCTTGCGGGGGCGCAATTAGTGCCAGCACCGTCCGTTAAGAGTTTGGGTGTAATCTTCGACACCTCCCTTTCCATGGAGGCGCAGATTGCAGGTACAACAAAGGCGGCATTTTTCCATCTCCGCCAAGCTAAGCAGTTGGCTCCTTACCTCTCTCGCCCTGACCTAGCCACTGTGATCCACGCGACGGTCACCTCCAGACTGGATTATTGTAACTCGCTCTACGTGGGGCTGCCCTTGAGACTGACCCAGAAACTCCAGCGGGTGCAGAATGCCATGGCAAGACTCCTTACGGGTCTTCGCTGCGAGATCACATTCACCCGGTGCTATACCAGCTGCACTGGCTCCCGGTGGAGTACAGGATCAGGTTTAAGGTGCTGGTTTTAACCTTTAAAGCCCCATACGGCCTAGGACCCTCGTACCTACGGGACCGCCTCTCCTGGTATGCCCCACAGAGAAACTTACGGTCTTCAAATAAAAACATCTTGAAGG